TTGTCAGTTCCTCACGATCTCACAAAGTTCCATTACAATCAATGAAGCTGCCAAAATGCACATTAAATCTCTTACTTACATCATGTCTGTACTTGCAACCACAAAGAATACACCAGGCAATGCCATAGTGACCGCCCAAAAACCCCTAGCAACAGCATAACTAACACCCTAGTAACCATCAAGAACACCTACCAATGCTGTGTCGTCAGCATATTTAAAATTGGTGTGGGCTGAAGAAAAAGCTTGACAGTTATTGGTGTATAATGTCTATAGGATGGGCGACAGAACGCACCCTTGTGATGCCCCTTGTTGAGGATGATAAACATGAGTTAAATCTGACTTGCTGACTACGGTCCGTCAATAAGTCATAGATCCATAAAATCAATTGGGATTTGCTCCCAAATGCACTAATTTTCTCACCAACAGGTGGGGTTGGATCATATTGAAAGCGCTGCTGAAATCAATGAACACGATCTGACCAAGCTCTCAGCATGCTCAAGGCACTCATGAGTGCTGTTAATCAAGGATAGCAGCGCATCCTCAACACCTATCTCTGCACAATAGGCAAATTGTTCCGGGTCAAAAAGAGGTGAAACCTCATGGAGAAGTTGTTTTAAAATGATTTTTTCAAAACATTTCATAACTGCAGAGGTAAGGGCAACAGGTTGCAGATCATAGAGTTCCTTAAGTCTATTAGGGATTGTTTACACCTGTATCTAGTGACAGCTGGAACAACCAGCCTGTTCTCATCCCAAGGCGTCATGTACTGACGCTTTTGACATTTCGTCTACATCCAACTCACATGGCACGTCAACATGAGACACAGATATATATGGGCCAGAAGGCGCCTTCTAACCCTAACCATACCCCAGAACTAAACCTATCCATAACCGAACAAAGCCCTGTGTGTGTTATATTGACGCTAAAGGGTGCCATGTGCGTTGGATTTAGACAAAATTTCAAAAGCGTCATTATATGATGCCCTAGAATGAGAATGCGTTGGAACAACCTTTGGAAGGGCTGTGCTAACTGATCAGCCCACACCTGTAGTTTCCTGCAGTTGATACCATCAGGCCCACAAGCAATGCCATTGCGGTCAATCGCCACCATATCTTTAGTCTGTTTCAGTACCTTCATGAAGATAGGGTGTGGCACTTTCTAACACTTCAGCAACTGAAGTTTGCTTAGAAGTCAGTCAGTGTGTTTATCAGTGAGCTTTTGGCCATGCATTCATCATCCATTTAAATATGTATTCAATACTTCAGCAGGTGTTGATAAAGGGTTGTTGTGTTGCCTCACAAGGTCAACACAGATGTTCGGTTCTGCAGGTTTTACAAAGTATTTGCCCATGAAGTACATCAGAACGTTGTACTCCAAATTAATTATATTTCTTTTACAAGCTTTTTTTAGGTACCAAATCATCTGCAGGATTTTGCTCTACTAAAACACATTTTGTTGCGGAGTTGAGCTCTTACTCACACAAATCTTTTCCAAATGTCGCTCTTACCCCCTATTGGTAAACTCTTACTATATTTGATAGTCCTTAATCGAAGTAATCACAGCTCTTGCGATTTGAAAACCGTTCCCTTTCAAATTGCTATTTCAGTTCAAAAATGATTAATCGTGCAGCCCTAGTAACCACCCAGAGCCCCCAAGCTCTCGACTGTTTAGCAACACTCTAGAATACCAAAGCAACCACTTAGCAATGCCCTAGCAACCATAAATGTCCTAGTTACCACCCAGAACTCTATAGCAATCGCCCTAGCAATACCCCAGTGACCACCCAGAACCCCAAAGCAAATGCCTAGTAATATCCAAGCAACTACCTAGCAATGCCCTAGTGCCCAATTGCCTAGCAATCCCAGAACACTGGGTTAGGGTTAGGGTTACCGCGCTAAGGGTGTCTTGGCATGTTTGGTTTGATTAAAACAAACTCTGGTACCATTGCTCTGTTAGTGTGGTTCATTTGAACATGTGTGAACGCTGCCATCCAAAACCTGGAGCGCATCAAACAAGCGGACCGAGACCGCTAATGGGTCTCTATCCGCTTCCAAATGAACTCTGGTGTGGTTCGAATGAAATACGAAAGCAACACGGACAAAAGACAAGTAAATGAACCAAAAACAGGAAGATGAAACCCTAAAAAGGAAAGAATGCCCACGCATATCTTTTTTTCCTGACATTTTCGCGATGTTGTCCATCACAGTTCGGTACAGGCATCAGAACCGCAACTCCTCGCAGCAGATCTTCGTTTGTGTGTGTGACAGAGGGGTTTTGACTTCTTTACACATTTTATAAGCTCTTCATGAGTTCTCAAATGGTCGAAATGCCATTATATGTAGGCTATCGGGCAAGTTTAGCCCAGAACCATGCCGGGTGAATCTTTGTAGTATTTATATGTAGATGTCACTTCCGAAACTTTGCAGCATGCAATTAGCCGTCGGTCCTCTAAGCAGCATGAAAAACAACAGTTTTATTCAACGGATTATATAGGCGGAAGCCTCAAAAGTGCGGAAGAGAGCTCCCTTTACAATCACTAAAACATTGTCGCTTTGTCAGTTCCTCGCGATCTCACAAAGTTCCATTACAATCAATGAAGCTGCCAAAATGCACATTAAATCTCTTACTTACATCATGTCTATACTTGCAACCACAAAGAATACACCAGGCAATGCCATAGTGACCGCCCAAAAACCCCTAGCAACAGCATAACTAACACCCTAGTAACCATCAAGAACACCAACCAATGCTGTGTCGTCAGCATATTTAAAATAGGTGTGGGCTGAAGAAAAAGCTTGACAGTTATTAGCCCAGAACACAGCATTGTTTTGGATGTTCAGTAATTTCTGTCTCAAAATAGGCAATAGGTCATAAAAAGGTTCATTCAGTCAATCAGGTTGTGAACGTATCCCTATGCCTTTAGGTTCTGTATCTTTTAGTTCTGTGATAAAAATGCCAATATGAACGCGAAGTGGGCCAGGACTAAATATTTTTTGTTTGTTTTTTTTTTGGCCCAGACCAAACGAACCAATCCAACCGAACTACATGTGTGAAGTGAACACACGCTAAGACTACCTTTTCTTTATATAACTGAAATTTTAGACATTGTAGCTATACCCTCATCAATCACATGGCAATGTTGATGTCTGGCTGTCATTTCAAGGCTAGATGGACCACAGCCCATATTGGCAGTTTAACCTCGGACAAGAGAGTCTAGCCTGCACTCCATTTTCTCACTGCAGCTCTATTCTCCACTCAGCAGGCAACGTAATTTTATCTTTGTGTAGAAAGCAATAGTCAATGGAGAAGGAATTAACGTACAAGTCATTGATCTTGCTGATTCAAATGTGAGCTCGGCCTGAGCAAGGCTGCATGTGTAAATACACACCATGTGTGAGGATTCAGGCTGCACAGAGGTATCCGTCGGTTTAGAGTTACAGCTTTCATTTCCTTAAAACCCATGAAGCGGAGCTGTGATGATGAATGCCGCTGTTGTTCAATGACAGTGATCAATAGAAGAGATTTTTTAATTATTCTGATGGTTTCACAGCTTGACAGATTACGGCAAAATAAAACAGGCTTTGATATTTAGATCTCTGGGCTAAAAGCAGATATGCATTTTGGATCATTTGAGATAGTATGACTATTGTTTGTGTTGTTTTGTTAGATAATGTTTGTGTATTTTCAGCCTGACTACATATGTGTGAGAGTGTGCGTCAGTGTGTGTTTGCCTGTCCGCCTGCGCATGTGAAAATATGTGAGTGTTTGTGGCTGCCTGCCAATCCACTGTGTGCACGAGTGTGTTTTAATATGCAAGGTGCAAATTCTGTGAACTTCTTTGTGCTCCGTACCACCACCGTTAATGGCTGAAGAACAGACAGTGCTCCACTGACTACAGAGAAAACAAACAGATGAAGATGGATGTTCAGTCAATTGAGAACTTAGTAACAGCTCTAAATGATTCTCTGACCGAATCAAATGGCCAACACATGACTGGATCATTAAAAAGAATCAATTCATAAGAATCATTTGTTCCTGATTTGCACTGTTTTTTTTTTTTAACAAGATGATATCTGATGATACCACAGAGAATCAGTCAAAACCTTGATCCCACTGTTTGGCTCCACATTAGTATTGAATCCCTATTTGTTTTTTCCATTGTCTTATTCAGCTGCGTCAACAGAAATATTTGACCATGCAGCACTAGAAACATTGGTGCTTTAATCCAGGTCTCTTTCTGCTCTGTGCCAAACCACAAACCACCTTTTGCATTATGTCTCAACACAGAGTCTTCTTTTCAGGCATGCTGTACTCAGATAAAACTTTAGAAGAGCATGTGGTTGTCTTTATACAACATCAGGAAAAATATTTTACAGGAGGGCAGCCCAACAAACGTCTGATTCATCCCACTATGACGTTAGCACAAATAACACACTGCCACAAATAACACAATTCTCTCTGCCTCTGAAACAAACTGGATAAAACTAAACAAACAAGTGCGGCTCAAAGAATTATTGAATGTGGCAGAACCAATTTGGATGAGAGCAAACTCTCATAATCTGGTTAGGCTTTATCAGCAATCAGCAATGTACAGTTTTTGGACGCTTAAGCCACATTTAAAAGGTATACCACAAAATTCTGGGCTATCGCCATCTGAAACGTACTGTATGAAGACTTTATTTTCATTTTTTGCAGACATTTCCTGCCAAATCAAATCCAAGAGCTCTGAATATAAAACGTTATTGAACTAAAGATTAAATGAAAAACTTCTATGTACCTTCCATTGTTATAAAACAACACATTGTTACAAGTAAATTTGAGAAGTGTATCTGTCCCTAGTCAGTGGGAAAGAGACTTGAATAAAAGTTTTTTAAACCAACAAGTGCACATACTGTAAGCTCTGGCAGATCCCGAGGATATTTGGCAGTCAGACAGGAACGATCATGTTTACAAGAGTCTACCACATGGAGCCATATAAAGTCCTTATATGTCCCACTCACCCATCAGTGTCCTGAAAGTTGACGTTCACCCTCTTGGCAGAGCCCAGCAACTCTAAAAAAAAAAAAAAGAGAGGGAAAGAGGGATAAGTATGTTTAAAAAGCAACAATAGGACTCTGTGGGAGTAAGGACATTTCACAGCAGGTTCTATGATACTAGAGATTTATATACAGTTTGTGTAGCAAAAAATAGATGAGTGTTGGAGACCAGTGCATCTAATTTAGCGCTTGAATTTCCTACTTGCATTGGAAAATTCTCTATTTTAGGACTGTCAATTTGTGGGCATGTGTGTAAGTGAGCAACTTTGAGTATGCAAGTGTGTGCAAGAGCTGCATGACTAGCAGTGAAAATAACACACTGTGTACATAAAACTTTGCACTGCGTTACAACTTCTAACTGAAAAAGCCTTGAGATAGGACTATTATTTTTGGTGTATAATCAGTTATTGAAATGGATACTTTTACATAAACATGAAACATCACATAAACTTCATTGTTTGGCTATTGTAATTAGAGAGAAGGAACAACAGGATAATCATTCTTCTCAGCTGTGTGGGCCAGAACTATTGTTTATTACTGTCAGTTACACATCCTTGTCACACAGAGAAAACCAAATACTTTTACTGTCATTTGAGGTTACACACCATAACCATTTTTAGCATTTTTAGCACATACAAGTGGATGGCCCTGTCATGTTTCCCAGCAGACACAGGCAAGAATGCTATGCCGTTCACTACATCACTTCCCCTAACAGCAGCACAGCCATTAAGAGAGACTGTGGAGGACTGAATACTGGTGTTGCATTTTATTCTTTCTATCCATAAATCCCATATGCGTCACTCACAACGCCACCAATGGACCAGGATGCGGGTTTAAAGGAAGAATTCAGTCACCGTGAGACTGAATCAGACACAAATAAATCCCTGTTTGTACACTCTTGTACAAACTTTTTTTTTTTCAATAAAACAAAAACTAAAAGCACAAATTGTAAAAGCTACAAGTGAATTGAGGCACCACAACTGTACAACATACAGTATGAAAATGGATATTCATTTGGAAATTTGCTTAAGATTACATTTAACAGTGTTATATTATATTACATGTCTGATATTATATGTCTAAATGAGTGTTTTCAAAGATTAGCTTTAAGTAAGATTTAGATGACAGTTAAGGTAATCTCATTTTAAAATAGGGCAAATGCGCACATCGAAATATCTTATTTTGAGCCAATAGATATTCAATCTCAACAGATAAATAAAAAAAATCCAATAATCAATATTATGAAATGAAAATACTGCATGTTTCCTACAGGTCATTCAGCACAGGTCATTCGTAAACACCAAATTTTCTATAGATGTGAACGTGAGTGTGAATGTTTGAGTGTGAGCCCTGCCTGTGGCCCAAGAAGCTATAGGACAAAGCGATAATGGATGGATATATTATGAATCCGTAGTACTTGTGCAGAGAGACAAGTATCAGGCCACAAAAAGTACTCTCAAAACATTCTTTTAAATTACTCATTACAGCAACAATGGCTTACCATTTGATCAACCAATGGTAAGCAGGAGGAATGTTCACAGCATCTATATTCATCCAGACGTTTTGAAGCCTCTGGCTGTGAGATTTCACAGATTTAACTGGTCTATAGGTGATCAAATCTTTAACACCTGGTAAAAGGGCTTCTATTTGGCCCAAAATATAAGTGGTGACTTTGGAAGCAGATCAGAATATGCCAGATGATGTCAGTTCTCCGTCTGGAGTGGAGCTGCTCGCAGCCATCTACATCAGTCAGACTGAATACAGGGCTGTTGTCAACAGCTGCTGCTCAATGTGACAGAGAACATCTGTGTGTCTTTTTCCGCTCTGTCTTTAACTCTTTCACCTCTCGGGCCTGGACTGATGCGTCCAAGTGGGGAGTGATATTAAATAAAACACATGGATGGAGTAAGTCCCCAGTAAATGGCTGCCTGTGTTTATGAGGAAACAAGTGTGCTTCTACTTCAAGACGCAAAGGTTACAGAGGAGAATATCTATCTATATGAGCTGCTGCTTTTGTGCTCTTGGTCTCGGATGGACTGTTCATCAACCGTTTGGCCTCTGAAACAAGATACTTTAGATGAAAGGTTCTGTACAGTAAGTTAGCACTAATCTCAATAATGGCAATGTGAAAAGTGCAGACATATGGATTCTACTTAGAGACTCTATTTTCACATCTTTTATCAATTATTTAGTAGTTTACATCAATACGATGACCTATAACTGATTTTGTTTTTAAATTGTGGGAAATAGTGGTTCATGTTGCCTTTCAGTAAAATTCAGTAGGCCTATAAACCAAATATTCATGGTAAGATTTTGATGTTTCTGAAAGAAGTAATCTAATACTTACCAAGGCTGCATTTATTTGATCAAAAGTACAGTAAAAACAGTAATGTTGTGAAATATTATTATATTTACGGATACATAAATGATGATAAGGAATATTGAGACTGATGTGTCATCATCCTTCCAATATTCTTCCATTAATAAAGAGCAACAATAGTAAATTGAAAATGAGATGAAAATTAAAGCATTCTTCAGCTGCATAAGCAATGCAATAAGCTTCAATGCACATAATAATTAGGTAAACTCAGCCTCTCAGGATTGTTTTGTATACTTCCTTCAGATCTTTTTATAGTGTCCACAGTTAACCCGCTGAGTCGTCTGGTCATCAAAACTGAAAACAAAAGATTACATCACACTTACACACTCAGAGCAAAGACAGAACTAGGTTGCTTTGTTGTATGAAAACATTTAGAGGTACAAATACGAGCCTGGAGATGTTCGCTCTGGGGACAAGAGGAGGGGTTTTGCCTCTTTGCAAAAATTAACGAGCTCACAACAAATAGGTCTCATAAAAAATAAAAAACTCAGCATGTACTATTATAGTCTACAAGATGTAAACAACAGATGTAAAGCCAGAATACATTACCCCCAAATGATAACAGCGCTCCCACAATGACCTGAACTGAATGAAGTTACCAGCAGAAGCACACGGAAGACAGATTGACTGCCTTTTGACTGAGGAGAAATGTCTCCTCCTCCTAAAGGACTACGACATGACATCCATTGTTACTTTGTGCTAAAATACTGGAGTGGATAAAAGAGACAGAAGCTCTAATGTAAAAATCAAAGAGATGACTACATTAGATTAGAGACAGCAACAAGGGGAGAAACAGTGAATGCTGCCCGGCCACGATTGATTCTGCATATCCGCTGTTTCCAGACAGAAGAATGTTACAGTATGAGATGTAGTGGAAAAGGTTCTCTCTGTGACTCATCTCTCTCTGCAGGCCATCCGAAGTGGGACTAGTGTAGTGTACTTGGTGATGAACAAAAAAAGACAGGGTGAGGGGTCATTACAAAGCCTCTGAACAACAGATGAGGCCCTGAGCAAATCAGAGACAAGCTGGAGTGGTGATGATGAGTCAAAAGCATGGAAAGTTCTGGATGCCAGATGAAGAACAGTAAGGAAATGTGTTCCAGTAAGAATGCATCTTATAGCCTAGATCTGCAGCTGTGCTCTCTTGATCTGAAATAGACAGTGAAAACGCCTGAAACATTCCACAAACATAAAAAGAAGTGCTGTGATTATGCTGCAAAAACTCTACTCTACTCGGCCGTCTGACTAATAGTAGCCTACTGTGCCAAAGAAATGTACAGTTTTCCAGTTGAGTTTCACTTACAAAGGGGTTGGCTAGTATTTTCAGTGATGGGTTTACTCTAACATTAGGTAAAAAAGAAGATATGGCAACATGCAAAAAACATGAACAGTGTTCATGAGACTGAAACAAAAGAGAATAAATTGTTGAATAAAGTTGTTTTGTGTTTTGTTTTTTGCACACAAAAAAAATATTCTCGTTACTTCATGGTTGAATCAATGGAGTCGCATGGACTATTTTAAGGTCTTTACAACCTTTCTGGGCCTTGAAAGCTTGCAGATTTAATAAAAAAAATATCTTAATTTGTGTTCCGAAGATGAACAACGATTTTACGGGTTTGGAACGACATGTGGGTGAGTAATTTGGGTGAACTAACCCTTCAATGCATTGCTTTCATTCATTTTTAATTAAACAGAAATCTTACTGACCCAAAACTTTAGACAGTAGTCTAAAATTAAATTATTTAATTAACAAAAATAAAATGAAACAATGCATATGTTTTGTCTATAATATAACACCTAATATTTCACAGAAATCTTGACCTTATATTTTAGGAAAGGGTCCCCTTGCAAGGAGATCATGATATTCTGAGGTCCTTGGCATCAATAAGTTTGAAAACTCCTAGTGTAATATATTGTTTTACTAAATGATTACTACAAGTATATGAAATAGTATTTCAATTGTATTTTAAGATAAGTGAAAGAATACCAAGTCATTACCATCATGTTAGTATCCAAAAATACAACCATATTTAACTATAAACAAAATTTTTATTACAAACAAAAGAACAGTACTCACTACTCACACACTGTGAAAAAAAAAATGTATGTACGGTAGCCATGTGCATGGGGAAATATTGTGACACATCTGGAATAACTTTGGCCGTCACCCACAACAGTGACTCACAGCAGGGCCTCATGAATAAATATTATGTATGCAAAAATGACTTCAAAGACTGCAAACACTATTCAGGATTTATAAAAATGCCTGTAACATAATTTGGTGTTACTATAAAACATGTGAGGCAATCAACTGTGAGGCAATATTTTTCAATAATCTTGAAAAAAAAAAATGCAACAAAGTACAAAAAAGGAATGAGAATGTTTTTTTGGACAAGGTGTCCTTACATGGTACTTACTGAAGTACCATTTTAATGTTTTATTTTTCAACAGTATATTTTAAGTCAAATTGTTGCTTATAACATGCCTTTAGGAACGCAACAAGGGAACAATGACATTTCTTCTGAAAGAGTACTGAATCTCCTGATCAAAACACAGGCAAAGAAGAAGCAGAAACAAGTGATATCATATGTAAGCACATGTATATTTAAAATAACACATACAACAAACATACAACA